ACTTATGGGGTATATCGCACGCTGAGAACGTAAGTGACTCAATCCAAAATTCGTTATTTTTGGCAAACGAAGAAATAAAGTCAGCAAGTTACAATAATTTTTTTTGTGACTCTTAAAGACATGCTAATTTTAATGGTAATTTCAAACTTAATGATTCTAATTAATCTTTGTACTATTTAGTTTCGAATTTAATATTGTTTTTTGTAATAATGAAAATAATTAGTGCGTTTATGGTGTAATAAAAAAAAACTTCCGAAAATAGGTCACTTTAGTACTGAAAACAAAAAATAAAAAGGTGCTTATTAGGGTTTATGTCTGTTTTAATCTGGTAATTATAAATATTCAATAACCTAACAATAATTAGATCACTTTCATTCTTAATCTGTATTATAATCTTATGGACTAATAAAAAACTGTATTCATGTTTATCAAAAATACTTTAATAAATGCACAATTATAACAGTGTCAATTATAAACTTTCAAAAATAAAGTATCTTAAACATAAGTAATAACAACCATGTTGTTACGAGTATAACAAAATTAGAGTTATTTCTATGTAGAGTAATTATGAAAGATATTAAACTTAAGAACATCAAATAAAAATATTAAAGTTTAACAAAAATTATAATCAAAATTTTGCTTTGGAATCATTTATTAATTATAGCACTATCAATCTACAGTCTTAGGTAGGTAAGTACATAATACTATCAGCCTTACCCGTGTAATCAGTCTTAATAGGTAGGTAACATTGTTCTTATGAAGTTATAGAAAAATATTATTATTTTTATCAAATATATAAATTGTCTCTAGACTAAACTCTGTTACTTAAATTACAAAAAGAAACCTACGGAACTCGGAATACCGTAAGTTACCACTAGTCAGTTCACCACACAATTTACAATGAATCGTAAAAAGTTGCATAGTAGTGCGGAATCTGATTTTTTTTAACGAGATTCTTGAGATCTCTTTTTTTATTTTCTTTTAATGCGATAGGTTGCTCGTATAATTTTTCAAGACTGATTAATTCATCGCTTACCATTTTCTTCCGTTTGTTTCGCATATTGAGTGTTTGGAAGGCAGTTTGGGAATATGATGTTTTGTAGTTGAATGAATAAGGTCGTTCTTTACAAAATTGCAGGACTTTAACATCATTCCATATGAGTTTTTTCCTTTCTGTATCCTCACTAAAGTTATACGCCCACTGTTCTTGCAATAGTTTCAAGTTATAGAAACAATTGTAGTCCATTTCCTTAACGGTGAAGGGTGTTCCGGATTTCCGCGCGCTTTTGATAATTGTGACATATTGATAAGGGGTGTAAATAGGACCACCTTTTTCATTCTTTTTAATTTCTTTTTCTATCAAACTGTGCACGTTGTCGGCTTCATTATGCGTATGCCCCTTGATTAGATACTTGTGGGTTATGGATTGTATATTTTTAAAGTGCATCACTGCAAATGAATAAAGGCTGGCAATAACTTTATTCTTATTTTGCCCCGTACAATTGTCTGAATAAAAAATAATGTTCAGGCTCTTATCTGGGTGTTTAGAGCTCAATGTATTTAAGTATTCAAATAGACATGAACCAATTTCATTTGCTCCTCTGTTGCCTTGAGTTTCATCCCAGAAATAACAAAACACATTTTCATAGGCTTTAATATTTTCTTGTTGTGTCGGATTTAACTCAGTGATGGTAAAATCTAAACAATTTATCTTCGAACAGTAATAAAAATACGAAGGACTAGGACATAGCATCACTGATTGTAAATCAAATACTGCACAGATGTTACTGTCGTCAATATTTGCTCTATCTCTTTTTTTCTCTTGACGGCATAAATTCTTCTCTTCAAGATGATTCTCATAAGCAGATTTTAAATCAAGTTTTGTTGTCTCGTGTGCAAGTTCATACGCCAAACAAACGTCACATCTATCTTTCTTAGGTTGAAAAAACCCTATATTAAACTCTTTGTTAAAAGTATTTAAGTATAACCAATAATCACATTCTGGTCTATTGTTTTCTTTTTGTTTTTCATTAAAATCTTTGCATAAGTCCTGTATTGTTTTGCTATCTGAAATGTATTCTTTAGCATCCGTTGTAGCTCTTAGGTAATGAGATTCTATTTTAGGTATGTTGTTAATGTGGTCCCTTATGTTCTGTAGTAATGTCGGATTTACACGTTTTCTATTATTATGTTTTCCTCTTTGGTCTCGTTCTAAAAAGCCTTCATTGTTTGTTTTGCTCTTAACAGTTCTCAATTGTCTGTCACTGATATCTAATGTGTTTAAGAAAAATTTCTTACAAACTCGTATTTTCTTCGAATCTAAAGTAAAGTACAAGGCGTTATTGGGCAACCTTGGCTTTTCTGCGTTAGTATATTTGTATCTAGGGTTTATTTGAATCATACAAGTGCGAATATACGCACGCTGTAATTCCAAATCATTCAGTTTCCAAAAACTATTAAATAAATTCAATCGTTCACTATCCATTATTTTTTCACTACATTTCTGTTTGCAATTACACCCCTCTTTCATACTACGCTCCGAAATATTTTTTTTTGTTTTTGAAAGGGATTGATAGGCTTTTCCCGCATTTCTCAATCGTTTAACTTCATTCTGTATCCACTTAGAGGGATTTCTCAAGCGTTTTCTAGTTTTTTTCTTTTTGCCATTACTTTCAGTGGCAGCAGAATGGGAAACAGATTCAGATGATGAAGCATCCTCACCTTTATTGCTATCTAACCTAAACGTAGGATCAGAGTCGCTGAGGTCTACATCACTTTCATCAGTGTGAATAGGTGATATTTGATAGTTCGGCCCTAATAGGCTCGGTGAGCAACGGGAAGCATGTTTCTTGCTGGTACAAGGCGTTGGGCTCGACGAACAACGGGGAGCATGTTCCTTGCTGTTACTCGGCTTTGGGCTCGACGAACAACGGGGAGCATGTTCCTTGCTGGTACTCGGGTTTGGACTTAATGGAGGAGCGGCATGTTGCTTCTTATCAGAACGATCTATAGAAGTCGACGAGTTAGATGAACTTAACTTTGTGGTTGAAGGTGACGAGCTTGAAGACGAAGAGCTTGAAGAGGAAGAGCTTGAAGACGTCGATGAATTCCGGGTCCTAAAATTCTTGGCAAGTTTTTCATCTTCGAAGGTATCATTTTCAGTATTTTTTTCTACATCTATAGCATTGCAGGTCAGCTGAAAATAAAACAAGATTGTTAATGAAGAATTTACCGGAATGTAATTGAATTTATTTATGTACAGACAACAGCACGTTGGGTATAAAAATTTATAGATTTTTATAGTTAATTGAACTGTAATCTTCATCTTAGCGTGTAATTCCTTGATTCATTAATTGATTTTAAATCAGTTAAATTTGCATTTACCTCTCGTTTATCACTATTAGGTCTATTTCGTTTTAGTGATTCAATTGTATTTCCATCATTATCTGCAACATTCACCTTAGAAGAAATATTCTCTTTGTTATAGCTAATAATTTCCTGAAATCACGAAATGAATTAGAATTTCGACTACATACACAGTAGGGATTATACAGAGTAAAAACTATAAAATGATACCTATTTGATACGGTAAGTTATGGAAAACATGCACAAAATTTAGGCAGCCACTACAGTTGGCTCGTAAGATACACCATTACGTAGTAAATTGACCGTGTATAAGATGAATCATACAAAATGTGTTACCTCTTCCTCTTTTTTGTGCTCTAACATCTTTAAAATCAGATCCGCTCTTCGTTTCATTTTGGACTTGTAAATATTTTTCTGTCACTAAAAGTAAGAAAAAACTTATTAATGAAATGGTCAATCAATTGTGTACTTAAATTATTAATGAAAAGACCCACACATAAATACGTCAAAACAAAATACAATTCATCAATCAAGTACAGGCCTAACACATAATTCGACTAAAAACTCCAGCTATAGGTTAATCAAGGACTGCCTTATTAGCTTTTAAGACACGTAAAATAAAAAGATTCTAATCGTAAACCGACTCAATTCAAAAAAAGGTCACTTTAATAGTAACAGCTACTATAAAGGTCTTACCTCAGTTTGAGTCCTAAAGTGACCCAATGCGCATTGGGTCACTAAAATATTAACACGACGCACGTCCACCCGTTAGCACTCCCGGCGAATCACTGATTGCGTCACTTTTATACTGACAGGGGTTGCGCGGGGCGCAGAAATGAAAGAGACGCAAATAAAAAATGAAGCTTAAGCAGCGGGAATAAGGTAGTTTTTGAATTTGTAGGTTGTAGAGCATGTCTCTTAAGGTCTGTTTATGTATAAAACTCAATTTTCCAAAATTTTGGATTGGGTCACTTTCGTTCTCAGCGTGCGATATCAGTGAATATAATTAAGAATATAATTAATATCATTGCTCCCTATCTCGCTGATATTTTCAATAGGCGGGTAGTTTGAAGAGTTAATACACATTTATATACTGCTCTTAAAAATTAATTATAAAAATAGTAATTCAATTATTATCTCTAAATATTATAGAGACAATGTTAGAATAGGGTATGAGTTACCTGCTGTAGTCATCATAACATCACTTTCCTGGAACGTTTGAAACACTCCATATCACTTGAGATTAACTGGCTCCAACACTAATTTAGTCTATCATGGAGGACATTAGAGGTACTATGGAGGCTTTGGCGGAAATGGTTCAGTCGCGTATGACCCTGTTTGAAGATGAACTGAGGAAAATACCTGCAACAAGAACTGAAACAGTGGCAACTTTGTCTGCGGACTTCAGTACATTTCGTACTTTTATCTTGGCCTCTATTTCTGCTCTACAAAGGCAAGTGGATATGTTGGCAGTGCAGCATGATTCTATGGAGATGAGGTATAGAAGGAAAATGATTCTCTTACATGGTGTCACTGAGCAACCAAATGAAGATTCTCCCAAAATAGCAGCGGATATCGTTCGTCAACACCTTTTGCCTCATATTCAGCCGGAGAATTTCAGTGAGGTCCACCGCATGGGAACAAATTCATCTCTCCGACCTCGACCAATTATCATCAAATTTAAAAGTTTGCAAGAACGTGATGAAGCTTGGTCAGCCAAAGTTGGATTGAAGGGGACTGGTATAACAGTGTCCGAGTTCTTGACCAAACGCAGGCACAAACTTTTCTTGGAATGCCGCGAGAGGTTTGGTCTGCACAGTTGTTGGACGCGTGGAGGTCGCATCATGGTCGTAGGCGCAGATACTAAGCGACACACCATCACTTGTCGAGCTGATCTAGACGGAATAGCTAAGTCTCATTTGGCACAATTCAAAAACACTGAGGCTGTGCCTTCTGCGAATGCACCTGCTGGTACTACAGGCTCATATGCTTCGCCTCCCCATAGTGCTAAACAGATGACTTCGAGGCGTCAAAGAACGGCGGTTCCTCCAAGAAGAAAGTAAGTGACGCCCAGTTAATATGTCACAGCTGTATCCATTATACTTGTACTTACACACATTTCGAGTTTTGGAGAATAATAGTGTTATATATTTATATTCATTGTGATTTTTGTGAGGCGAGATAGTGGGCGGGCGCATAAATATTTAATCTCTCACAACTCGGTCAGAATTCCGAACTACTGTAGGTAATTTTGTTTTTTTCATTTCTTGCACTTCTTATCAAGGTAGTTTAAATAATTGTTTTGTTTTTTACTCTCCAGTATAAATATTGAAATATTGTTTTGTTGTTGACAATTGACTTTGACAGACACTGTCTATATTATATGGTTATTATTACTGTGAAGCAAAGGAATCTGACTCATACTGCCATGTCAAAATAATTATTAACCATACCTAAGTAAATACATATTGCTTCCGCTTTTATTTTTATTTTTATTATTACTATTTTTTTTTCTGCGCCCAGTCTCGCTTGATAGTTATCTTGTGATGTTTGTAATTCAATCTTGCTTCACTAATATTAGCTTACTAGTGTATTAAACAAATTTATATGTTAGGGTGACTACCTGTGGGTAATGGAAATGTATGCCATTTGAGTTAATTGTCTTTATTTTTTAGTTATAAGTATATATTTTAACTGAACTATATTATGAATATCTCCATAAATTCCGAGTTATTTCTTTCTTGTTCTTCTCAATCCAGTTTTGAGGATAGTTTGCTTAGTAATGAGTCAGTCTCCTTAGATATACTACTACATGATACTTTTTCTAATATCCCTAAAAACTTAAACATCGTTCACATCAATGCGCAAAGCATCCCCGCGCATTATACTGAGTTGCTCACATATTTAGATCACACTAATATACATGCGATCTTAGTCTCTGAGACTTGGCTACATCCGTCTGTTCCTTCTTCTTGTTACTCGTTTCCGGGATTTCATCTCATCCGCAGTGATCGTGGTAGCTCTTCTCATGGAGGGGTAGCCATTTATCTCCGCACATACTTTTCTTTTTCGATTCTAAGTCAATCGTCACAGCCTCCACCACAAGATGCTACAGAACATCTCATTATTGAGATTAATCTAAATCATAATAAAGTCCTTCTTGGTGTTGTCTACTGCCCCTCTTCCAAAATCGATTTCTTTCACTCTTTTGAGCTTCTTCTTGAAGATCTGATCCCTAATTATGATCATTCCATCATCATGGGCGACTTCAACACCTGTCTGCTAAAAAATGATTCCCGAAGTGTAAGGTTATGTAATGTAGTTAATTCATGCAATATGCATATTCTTCCTCTTTCGGCGACGCATAAATTTCCAAACTGTACTCCCTCTCTGCTTGACCTTATCATGGTGTCATCGCCGGGTCATGTTGTAAAATATGGTCAATTAACAGCCGACCAGTTTTCTTACCATGATTTGATTTATCTGTCCTATCGAATACGTCCTCCTAAACGCAAAGCGTCGATTCAACTGTTGCGTAACTTCTATGGAATGGATATTGACCGCCTCCGAGAAGATGCTCTTAAAGTCGATTGGTCGGCAATTGATAGACTTGAGACGATTAACGAACAGGTGGAGTTATTTAACTCGTTGCTTATCCATCTCATGGATAATCATGCTCCCGTTCGACCTGTACGTGTTAAGCATGTTCCTGCTCCTTGGCTTACAGAGGAGGTACGCAAGATAATTGACAGAAAGGTACGTGCCAAATCTAAATTTAAAAAAAACCCGTCAGATGCAAATCGCGATCGTTATAGGGAAATCAGAAATCACTGCAATACATTGATAAGGGATAAACAAAGACGCCATATTCATGCTTCCGTTGAAAACGGTGATCCCGCCAAAGTTTGGCGATTTCTAAATAAGCTTGGTATTGGAAAAAATAAATGTAATCCCACTCTACCACCAAATACTAATATTAATGCCTTGAATACATTCTTCTCCTCGTCTGCTTCTATGGACGGAAGCATCAAAACTCATACTTTAAATACTCTTTCTTCTATGCCAACACCGTCATTTGCTCCTTTTGTCATTGAACCATTTACCGAGTGTGACATTGAGAAGAATATACTTGCTATATTGTCCAATGCGATCGGTAGCGATTGCATTAGTCGTAATATGATAATTCCTCTTCTAGATATCCTAACTCCTGTAATTACCAACATCCTCAACAAATCTATCTTGACGTCTTTTTACCCCTCTGCATGGAAGGATGCAAATATAGTGCCTGTGCCTAAGAAACCTAAGCCTGATTGCTTTTCCGATTACCGGCCTATATCCATATTGCCTTTCCTTTCCAAAGTCCTTGAAAAGCTAGTTTATCAACAGTTTAGTAAATTCCTTTCCTTGAACAACCTTCTGAATCCATTTCAATCTGGTTTCCGTCCCGGTCATAGTACGACTACTGTACTTGTCAAGATTGCTGATGATATTCGCGCAGGAATGGAAAATCGGCAGCTCACCATACTGACGTTGTTAGATTTCACTAATGCATTCAACACTGTTGATTTCGAAATTTTGCTAGCAACGCTGGTTTCTCTCAATGTATCTCCACAGGTGATTGGTTGGTTTCGTAGTTACCTGTATGGGCGACGGCAACGCATATGTGTAGGAGATATTCTCTCAGATTGGTGCGTTACAACAGCCGGAGTTCCACAGGGTGGCGTTTTGTCTCCGCTTCTATTCTCTATTTTCATTAATTCAATAGCCCTCCCTCTATCTTCTTCCTATCACATGTATGCAGATGATTTCCAAATTTATAGCCAATGTGCGTTGGAAGAAATACCCACTGCAATTACCATTATTAACAATGATCTTGAACATATATCTGATTGGAGTCGGCGTCATGGTCTGTTAGTCAATCCTCTAAAATCTCAAGCGATCATCATTGGAAGTCATTGGTATCAGGCTAGGTTAAATTATGATACACTGCCACCTATCTTAATAAACGGCAATCGTATACCTTTCACTCAGTCTGTAAAAAATCTTGGTGTCATATTTGATTGCAATATGTCTTGGAGCCTTCATGTCCGAGAGGTTAGTAGGAGGGTATTTGGTGCATATAGCTCACTTAAGCGACTTAGGAATCTTTTGCCGACTAAGACTAAAATCACTCTTGCTCAGTCACTTCTTCTCCCTTTGCTTGACTACGCTGATTCATGTTATACAGACCTAAGTGTCGTTTTCCTAAATAAACTTGAGCGACTGCAGAATTTGTGTATCCGTTTTGTCTTTGGTCTACGTAAGTATGATCATATTTCTGATTATCGTACCCAACTTCAGTGGCTACCTATCTCTCGTAGAAGAGACTGTCATATCCTATCACTCCTATATTCCATCCTGTTTCACCCACACACACCGCATTACCTCAAAGAGCGCTTCGTCTTTCACTCTACGAATCTTACCCGAGATCTGCGGTCTTCCTATAATTTATCTTTAGTCATGCCTTCCCACAATACTGATTTCGTAGCCAAGTCATTTACAGTTAAAGCAATCAAACTATGGAACTCTCTGCCTATAGATATCAGACGCGCGCAATCACGGAACTCATTCAATAAATTGATAAAAGAATATTTCCTCAATCTGGACTATTCCTCTTGAACTTCCAATCTATTACTTTACTATCGTAAGTTTTATTTATATATTTGCACTTTATACGTTCTCGTGTGTTGTTTCCCCTATTGCACTAACCCGCAGTTAATTTTTCTTTATTGGTATCATTTCCTTTAGCCTAGGGTCGCCTGGTAGAGATTGCTACCTTAGCAATAAGGCCGCCTTTTGTGTTACTGAATCTAGTTTTATGTACCTTTCTTACTGTATTTCATAGTGCAATAAAGAATATTCAATCAATCAATCAATCAATCAATCAATCACTGTATTGATGAGGGTATTTTCCCAGATCTCATGAAATTTAGTAAAGTCATTCCTCTTTTTAAAGCTGGTAATAAACAGGATCCTAGTAATTATAGACCCATTTCAATTCTACCGACACTAAGCAAGATTTTTGAAAAACTTATTCTGGAACAATTAATATCCTACTTTAATTCCAACAAACTTTTGCATACTAAGCAATACGGTTTTACTAAGGGTCGTTCGACAACAGATGCGGGTGTTGCGCTACTGAAGCATATATTTAAAGCATGGGAGGGATCGCAAAACGCTCTTGGTGTTTTTTGCGATCTGTCCAAAGCCTTCGATTGTGTTGAGCATCAGACACTGTCGTTTAAACTGAATTACTACGGTATTAAAGGTGCTGCTCAAAAACTAATGCTGTCGTATCTTAGTTCCAGAACACAAACGGTAGATATAAACGGTGCGAAGTCGTCGGGGTCTCATGTAAAAATAGGCGTTCCCCAAGGTTCTATCTTAGGCCCATTTCTGTTTTTAATATATATAAATGATTTGCCATTTTTTGTTAAAAACCTGTGTGAGATCGTGTTGTTTGCAGATGACACTTCATTAATATTTAACATTGACAGAAACAAATATAATTTTGACGATGTAAACAATACTCTCTCACGAGTGTTATCTTGGTTCACAGTTAATAATCTTCAATTGAATGCTAAAAAAACTAAATGTATAAAATTCACTTTACCTAATGTAAAAGTAGAACCAACTGAAATTAAACTCAACAACGAACATTTAGAGTTAGTAAGTTCAACAAAATTTTTGGGCATAACACTAGATTCAAAACTGCAATGGAACCCGCATATTTCTATATTAGCTGGTAAACTCAGCTCGGCTGCATATGCCATACGAAAAATAAGACAAATTACCGATATAGAAACTGCCCGGACAGTGTACTTTAGTTATTTTCACAGTATCATGTCCTATGGCATTATATTGTGGGGAACGGCAGCCGATATTCAGTCTATATTTGTTTTACAAAAAAGGGCAATAAGATCTATCTATCAGTTGGGTTCGCGAATATCTCTTAGAGAGAAATTTAAAGAAATTGGAATATTGACGGTTGCATCTCAATTTATATATAGTTGTATACTTTTTGTCCGGAACAATATTAATGTGTATACCAAACATAGTGATGTACACAAACTTAATACTAGAAATAAAAACAAGCTAGTAGTGCCTTCTTACAGGTTACAGAAGGTATTAGGTTCTTTCATGGGTCAAGGTATACAATACTTTAACAAGATCCCCAGTGATGTATAAGATTTGCCAATAAATCATTATAAAAGTCATATTAAAAGTTGTCTACAAAGTAAAGGGTATTATACCGTTAAGGAATATCTAAATGACAAAAAGGCATGGTGTTAGATATTTTAACTTTGTTGTATTTACTTTCTAATATTGTAATGGAAAGTGACTTCATATTCTAATGAAGTCACTTTTCAATAAGACTTCTCTGTGTGAAATAAAACAGGGAGAAAAAAATAGCCCTTGCTGAGTTTCTTGCCGGTTCTTCTCAGTACAAGGTCTCCCGCCGTAGTTTTGCGAACCGATGGCGTAGTTTTCGACTTTCACAAGTGCTCTGTAAAAGCCTAAATTGAATAAATAAATTTTGATTTTATTTGATTTGATTTAAAGAGTACCATGAGTTAGGCGGGCCTTCGTCGCTCGGCCACAGGTTGGCACAGGTTAACAAAAGGTTGTTAATATGATGATGTATGAATATCATCAGATAATGTGTATGATATATTGATGCAAATAAATGATTCAATTATCCATTTGTTTATTTGATAAAATACTAGCTGGTTTTTATTTCAGATATACGACTGGGATAAGAAGACGCAGAGCCTTATCCTGTCATCATTCTTCTGGGGCTACGTGGTGATGCAAATACCAGGTGGAGTTATGGCAAAGAGATTTGGAGGCAAACCTATATTGTTAATAGCACTTATAGTGAATGGGTGTTTGTGTGCCTTATTACCCATTTTGGCTGCTGCGGTGAGAATCCAAAATTATACGTAGTTATCTTAAAATACTTTTACCGTCTCACATACCATATTTGTAGCTTTATTACTGACTTACCGGATACTTGCTTTCAAACTTTCTCGTATCTATAAGATGAATATATAATTATCATTGAAATTAACATAAATAGGCCTAAAGAGTGTCAGCTATAGTGTGATGTCAGAGGAATCATAAACATGTATTTGGCAACAAACTTTAAGCCTTCACCTTTATACAAGCGTCAATTACAAACTTTATGTCCACAAATTACATATGTAGTTCGTATATGAATTTTGAGATCCAAAAAATAAATACTTATAAAGTGATGGTCTACAGGGCGGCTGGATGTTGGTATGTGCGGCGCGAGTATTAATGGGTCTAACACAAGCCTGTCTGTTCCCTGCTACCCACACATTACTTGGACAATGGTTCCCGCCCAGTGAACGCACGAGTATTTCTGGATTCGTCTATGGAGGTTTGATAACTTTATTTAATATCTTTGAAGATCTACCTCTACATGTGCAATGCTCTATAAAATTACCATTTGAAATATTTTTTGCAGTGTTTTTTTATGAATTGCAAAACAGTTATTTAGGCAGAATATCTTAGTTAATTACCATTATAATGATAATTCACGACCTAAATAAGAAGAAAACTGCGATACAATAATTTATAAAATTATGCTAGGTGTTCAAGTTGGAACAATCATCGCCATGCCATTATCTGGTGTGCTTGCTGAAACATATGTGGGATGGACATTAATCTTCTACACAATGGCTGGCATACTATTCTTCAATATGGGACTATGGTACTGGTTCTCGGCCAGTTCGCCTGGCGAACACAAGATGATAAGCAAGGAGGAGAGGCAATATATAATGAGCTCTCTAAATAGTAGTGGATCAGAGGTAATTGATCGTATTATTTTCATAATTGTAGTCAAATATGATAATAACTTCATATTGTAAGTAAATTTGGAAATCGCCAAACCTTAGTACGGTTCCCTGAATTTAGGAACTTTACTGTCGATAATATCTAGGCTACTGAAATAAAAATGCTTCATTTACAGTTGTTTGTGTTAAATGAGAATTAGCGTTGAGTGATGTGATTACAGATCACTCATATTAAAGGGTTATATCCAATTTTGATCTAAAAATTGACTAACACGTCTAGTGATGTGATGTATCTCGACATAGTTTATGTTTTACTTATATATCAGGAAATTGAATCTTAAAATAGGATCAAGATAAAAAATTGCAAAGCTGATGATTTATTTTTAAATAGTACTATGCTAACTACCGGAACGGAATTCGGGCTCTGAAATGACGGTTTGCTACGGTTCGTTTGATCTACTCGTACTATGGAAAAATATTATTTTGTTATAAGGAAAAATAAGTGATCATTAATAATTACATTTAGATTAATTTCTATTAAGCTTTGATTTTAATGCATTAATTTTTTAAGTATTTCACAACTATCTCGAATATTGACAGTTTTTATAACACCTCAAAAGATTATTTAAAAATTACGAATCTAAGAGATATATTCTATTTTAATCTAAGATATTATCTTTATATTTGAAGCAAAAACTCATTTAAATTATCACAAATGGTGGGTAGGCGTGACCTTTAAAATAACATGTGCCAGGTCAATCAGTGTATGGGAAGGGGATATGATTCTTTTAATATAATAAAAATCAAATTAATATTCTAAACGACACTTTAATTTTTTAATATTAATTATTTATTATATAGTACAGTATTTGTACCTTAGTTTGCCTTTAAAGGTAGTAGTTTGTGTACCTTTAACATTTGTGTCTACAGAAATCTATGCGTACTCCTTGGAAAAAGATTTTGACGTCAGTGCCCCTGTTCGCCATATTAATAAGTCATATGGCGTGTAACACTAGTTTTGCATTATTCTTCTTAGACATGCCAACTTATCTCGAAAGAGGATTGCAAATATCTTTAAAGAACGTAAGTAATTAATATAACATGTTATGTGATGATATTTGCCTGTGTATAAATTATTTCGTGTACTTTTTATGGTAGTTTATACGATATTTGAAATTGTATAACCTAAAGTAAATTATTAGAGAGTTCGTGCCTAATCAAATCTTAAAGAAATTTCTACACCATAGTGATTAAATAACTTTAGGTATATTTATTTTGTGAAATTTCTTTTTTACGTCAAAAAAAGTAGTAAAGTCATAGGTAATTAAATAAATTATAAAGATAAAATAAGATGGTGATATTATCTGCCTTAATATCACTTCCTGGAAAGTGAATTAGGTATAATTTGTGTAGATCAAAAGATTAATTACAATTTTATCTAAATCGTCGTAGTCTTATTTCGATAATATTTCAGTCGCACTTTCTGTATTTGCTATTTCTTTTTTACAATATTTTTTCATATTAAATATTTATTGAGATAAAAGATAATATTTATATTATTCTTTTTAGCCGAACAATTTATACATAGTTAACAATTATTTTAGAGTGCAGCTTTATCGGCTTTACCGTATGTTGGGATGTGGATCGGTAGCGTTGGGTCTACATTCCTCGCCGAAAAGTTGCTGAATAAGAAGATCATGACTATCACTGTATGCAGAAAGGTTTTTAATTCTATTGGTGAGAATACTAACCAGTTTCTTATATAACTAACAGCGGTTAAAGTATGAAAGTGCCGAATTTTACTGATAATCAAAATTGTATATTTTTTTAAATTTTTAACAAATTTATTTAATCAAAATAGTTACCATTGTTATCTATACATTGCTGCCATCTAATAGGAAGGTCATTTATGCCTTTGCGATAGAACTCTGAGGATCTAGACTGCACAAACTGTGTGAAAGTATTTGTACTACCTCTTGGGAAGAAAACTTCTTGTCACGTAGATAATTGTCCAAATCACGAAAAAAATAGTAGTCCGTTGGAGCAAGGTCTGGCGAATACGGAGGATGACGAATGGTTCTTAAATGCAGTTGTTGAAGGGTCAAACTGATTTCTCGTACTGCATGAAGTCACGCATTGTCATTGAGCGATAACGGTGAAGATCGATTCATGGGTCGGGCTAGTTTTGTCAATATTGTTCGGAGTTCGGCACAATAGACATCTGGCTTTATTGCTTAACCAGATCGGAGAAAACTATAGTATCGGAGATACTGTTGTGGCGTTTGACCTGGGGTCAGCCATTGCCTTTTTCTTTTACGGTTATCATAAAGAATATACTTTGATTCGATCCAATCGACCAACCGAAATATTCCTTCATTTCTGTACCGATTCAACAAGGCTAAGTTCAACAAAACTAGTTTCAACACACATTGCTTTCTGCAGATCAGTCAAAACATGAGGAACCGATTTTTTGTATTTTTTTATTTTATTAATTTGACGCAAATGCGTCGATAACGTTGCCGCTAATTTCTGGGTAGTTTGACTAGGATTGTCTACCACCAACTCTCTTAATTCATCGTTATTCACCTGCTTGAGCGGTCTTCCTCGTGGCTCGTTCTTGAAGTCGAAGTTTCTATCACGAAAGCGTTTAAACCAAAATCATACGGTGTTCATTAGCAGAACCTTCTCCAAATGCAACATTGATATTGCGGGCTGTTTCTACAGCGTTACTTCCGCGTCGGAACTCGTATTAAAAAATCACTCAAAAATTCGCAGTATCCATCTTTCTTGTCTAAATTGAATTACAAAAACAATTGAAAGTCGATATTCAAATGTTTCAAATTTTTCAAAAGAAGAACATTATAGAAACCATGTGAAAAAGTTTCTTTCGAAAACCTCAAACCATGAAGATTCTATGTCAATTCAAGGAACCTATTACAATAAAACGGCAATTTCATACTTTGACCTCTAATATTAATGAATACATGGTAGTTGGAAGTCAAAGGATTGAATAGTTATCATAACATTCCTTTGGATCTGACAATAATATTACGATCTCAGAGATACCATTATACTCGTAATAACATATTCTTTCTGAGTTTTTTATTTACGTTCTCACCATTTAAGTGTTTTATTTTCCCCAATTTGTGTTGTTTTTTTATTGCTTTAAATATTTTTTAACTATAGTTTAATGATGTAGAATTTATATTGCGATATTTCATATTCGATATTCTGTTGTACTTAAAATACTTGTATTAGTTAAAATCATAAACATTTCTCAGATCTAAAATAATGTAACTTAATTACTTGAATAATAAAAATATGAAACAAGAAAGATCAAATCAAGAAACAAATCCGAGAGAATATAGAAACAACCATTTTCTATATCGAGTCGATAGCGTGTCAATGGACTTCAGGGATGGTGTATGACATCGTCATCTTCATGACACCATAAAACATGGATGCGAACCACTCTGCCGCAGATTTCAAGGGATCGATATGATGCTAAGTCTGAGCATAGACCTTCGTCGTAGATAGACAGATAGTCCGACAGAGTTATTATTATAGTATACCTACAGTATTTTAATAAATTGTGTGTTTTTTTTTGTTCGTAGCTATGTTTGGTATCGCTGCTGGTCTCGTGGGGTTGTCATTTGTAAACCCTGAGAACAAGAGTTCAGCTATTTTAGCAATCGTCATTACTCTAACTATGAGCGGTTTTACCACTGCTGGGTTTATGGTATGTAATAAGTGTAAACACTTTGTTTCACATAGATTATACAGAAGCATCATCTATCCTTAAGTTTCTATGATTTTATCAAAACCGTAGATATCTTTACTTGAAGTATTTTGTGCGGGCACTTTTATTTATTAAAATAATGTAATAGCTAAAGCGCCTTAAAGCTTTATGTTCATATTAGATTTTTTTTTGTTTTTTAATGCCCGGCCTTACAATACATGGCCGAGCGCTCACGTTTCTCCCACTTAGTAGCAGGCCCTTTTCCTTCTAATTTACTCATACATACCAGTTCTCGCATTTGTTTCTAATTCTTTCATACTGCATACTACACATTCTTTCATCTTCTTTTATACTTTAACGGGGGGATCACCCGCCTATTCCACTACGCTATATCTAATTTATTTATTCTTTTATTTTATTCTCTTATTACTAGGGACGAGGATGAGGATTTCTCTTTTTTCTTTTTGGGTTTTTTATAGGTTGAGGAAGCTTGTCGTAATAAAATATTATAATATATAGATATTAATGTGATTTGACTTTCAAGGTGAACGTCTTGGATCTGGCGCCAAATTTCGCTGGCGTGTTGTTCAGCATCACAACATTTGCAGCCAACATATGTAGCGTCGTGATGCCAATTATGACCAGCTATATTTTGCGCAATGATCCAGTGAGTACGGCTTTACATAAATATTAAATTTAATATTATAAAGCAATTACTAAATATGTATTGTAATGTACTCTTCCTTTATTGACACTATCTAAATGTATATGTTTTCTTTTCTAATGTTATATAGAGATTGCAAAACTGCTGGATTGATTTTAAAAATTCTTACACCTATTCATGTAGCTACCGTACATCATACGGGGTTGACATAGGCCACCATTTTGTGTTTTAATGATATCAAATAATTCGCTTATATTGATATCAATTTCTTTCTTTTGATATACCTAATAAAATGTACATCTCAATGCAAATATAGTTTGCAAAGTGCTATAAAAAATATAGGTTCATTTCGATTTTTCTTCAAATTAAGATAACTCGAGATCTCTGAAAATGCTGACATGCTGTTTTGCTCTGACAAAAGATATGAAAAGACTGAAACCAAATAGCAATAAGCTCTATAAAAAGAATAAGTAGAAAACGCAATAGGAAAAATAGAGACAGACAAAGACATGCTAAACATAGCACTGTTTAACAGTGAACTTAACTAGTACTTATTATAAATAATAAAAAAACTGTTTTAGAATGAATTCTACAGGATTGCTACCATGTACTTTGTTTTTATTAAGTTCTTGATTTGCTGTTTCAAGCGCAATCATAACTTAGTAACTGAAGTTTTTGCGGGTGGGTGGCATAAGCAAATATATCTGTTTACCTTCTTTGGAGATTTTACGTTCGATACCCGTACCACTGTTCTCTATGTCACCACTTACTCGCACCTGTTTTCGACGCACAACACTCACTGTATCTGATCGTCTTTATATTTATCTTCAGGTTTTAATAAGTACGACCCATTACATAGTAGCATTCCCGTAGAAAACTATAATTCTAATATAAATGACTATGTAAGCTTAAAACAACATAATTATATTCTGTTTTATCCTAAATTATGTTACTCCAGACAGACGTGAGCCGTTGGAATATTGTCTTTCTGATGACAGCCGCTATTTCTGTGGTCGGAAACATTGTTTATGTTTGCTTCGCCAGCTCCGAGCAACGGTCATGGAATAATCCCGATTACTTCGATAAAAGCAAAGTGGATCCAGGTTCGAAATAAATGATAATTTATTAATAAGTATTTGAATTAATAGTATGATTAAGATGAAGCAATTATTTTGCTTAAATATGACTGTTTATTACTTTACTATGATTTAAGAACAATAAATTAGTATATTAATTTGGTCCTGGTTGTTTCACTCTTTCGACTCCTAGAACTACTATGTGGACCAAAACAAGCAAACTGAGCCTTTCCTTGAAAGATAGTGAACTCTGCCAATGTAAAAAAAATAAATAAGAACTGTATTTTGATTAGTTGAGACCTTTTTGTAATTCTACAGAAACCTTTGACGAGGCTACGTAACCAAACCTATAACAAAAACAAAAAAATATAGGTAAAATGAAATTAAAATAAAAAATCTTTTGTTAATCATAATTATATAGTATGTCTAAAATTTCAAAAATTCGACATTAAATTTGTCATATTCTTAATGAAAAATGCTTAAAAAATCCATCAGTCCCAGTTACTCTGAGATGGGACACGAACCCATGAACTTTCGCAATCCAGGCCACTGCTCTAACCACTGAGCTACCCAGGACCTAACAAGAAATCCACCAAACGGGCCGCAAGAAATATTTTAACAAAAATTTTAAACTTTCGATCAAAATAAAAATTGTGTTGTAGTTATTATACTCGTATTTATCAATTTTACATTTACTATTATTATTTATTATTTAATTCTTTATGCACAATCGTACAAAGGCGGACTTAATGCCTTAGGCATTCTCTGCCACTCAACCTTTAGGTGATGTGGAGATTAAAATAAAGGATAAAAAGGATAAAAGTAGGTGCATATGTAATCTTTGAGAGAAAAAATAATATAAAATAAGCATAACACAAACATACATACTATATATAACATAATACATATATAATATAATAAAAATAAATACAATATATACTTATAAATACTATGCCTAGTAGAAATGAGATAGCAATTTTTATGATTCTGCCTGATCTAATATTAAATTGCGCAACTTGGTTTTAAAAGCAAACCGACTGGCGGACATTCTGATGTCTGTGGGGAGTGCATTCCATAGGATAATTAATGGCTTTAACGAAAAAGAAAGAGTGGATGATGTCAGAGTGATGAGCAGGACACATAAGTAGTAGTCTTTTGTATGACTCGTACATAAGTACTGAAAGTGTGGAGTGAGGTAGCTTGGAATTTTACAATGCTATACTGGAGATAGCCACGTTTTGCCCGCGAGGTGCTAGCTCGCAGTAAATCGAGGGTATATGATTTACCCTCTAATCCGCATTGGCCAGCGTGTAGGTCATGGCCCATCCTCTTTAACCACCCATAAGGAAGACCTGGGCCCCTGCAGTAAGACGTAAAAGGGCTGGTGATGAGGATCTGATTCTCACTAAGATTTAATTTATCAAAATTAAAAAGTATTATTAGAGCTGAAACACCAAAAGCTTACGAGAAAATGTTACTAAAAATATATAAGATTTGATGCTTTTATAGATATTTTTTGGTATCAGGATATCGATAATCGTAAGGAGAATTGTATATTTGACTACAAATAAAACAATACTAGCTTTCAATTATAAGGCTTCTCGGTAACAAACTTTGTTTTGAAGAAACAACGAGATATACTCCCGAGAGAGAGTAACCCCCGTATAACAATGTTAACTCTGAAACCCAATAGATGCTGAATTAATTATTGTTCTTCATAATACACATAGTAATTTAACAGAAACAGTAATCGATCTACAGTAATTAAAATATAGGCTTCAATAACACAAATGATGCGAGGAATTGGTTGTGTAGCTGTGAAATAATAAGGAAGTTATAACAGAAATTAAATCTATATCTTCCAGAGAAGGAGATTAATTATAATTTTGGGTAACCTAACCTGACAAAGAATTTTAACCTCTGGTCATATAATACTAAGATGGTTACGATTGCTTTGTTTAAAAAAAAAAAAAAACGCATAGTGAATAATATCAGTCTTAATATACAGTACGGTTTTAATTGTTTATATAAATAAATATTGTCAAATATTTATGATAAAAAGAATTGAATGGGTTACCAATATCTATATATACTAATATAAAGCTGAAGAGTTTGTTTGTTTGAATACGCTAATCTCAGGAACTACTGGTTCGAATTGAAAAATTATTTTTGTGTTGAATATACCATTTATCGAGGAAGGCTTTAGAACTATTAGGAGCGAAGAAATAATGGAAAATTAGTTATAAAATGACTAACGATTTTATTATTATTATAGTATCCTATATGAAGCAATATATTTTGAAAAGAAAAAAGAGATACGTGTATTGTAAAGATCCTGCGATCCTGCGCTGTCGTCAATCTGTGGTTTTATTTCCTTCAACCCCTTTTAGATCTTCGGTCCACCTGGTACCTTATAAGTGTTTACCTGTATATTATAGATGATAAAGGAAATATTACGAATTTAGGAAATTAAAGCAAACACTTGACAATAGAAGGGCCCATTAGAAAGCATATGAGTGCGTAGTGGGTACTGGAAACTCTTCATTGCATCAAATACATCTTTAGTTACAATATAAAACAATTCTTTTTTATATTTATGCACTTGATAAATAATATTGGTCCAAAACGTTTGCCGCCTTAAGTCTTTCTTATCGGAAGTAAAGTAACAGTAGATCTCTAATGAAAAGCGAGAAAGATTTGGAAAACCATAAAAAACTAAAGTGTAAATTCCAAAAGACGTTGTTCAGTCATTTTCACAAAATTTTGATTATGTTAAAATTATTTGTTGCAGAGGGGCTAACATTTTTGGACAGAAATGAAGAGACAGAGCTAAGGCCAATAGTTTGACAAGAATAAAACATTTTCATGACAGTATTTACTGGTATACAAATATTGATGACATAGTTACTAGCCTCTCTAATGCTTTTATATATTTTTACATAATTTTTATATTGTTTATTTGTGACTGTTATAAATTTGATTGTTGTATTGTTCTCTCTATTTTTGTACTTACAAGTAGTTCCTAACTAAATTTATTTTCTCTCTTGTACCAATTTAGTTTTAATTAAACAATAAAAATCATATAAAAATCTAGTAATCATTTAAAAAAATATATATAGTCGCCCGTAAATTTATTAACCGGTCTTTAATATCCACATTCAACTCTAATAATATAGTCTCTTTAAACTTCTCTTTTGATATAGTCAATAATTCGAATGTTGTTCACATATTTGGGACATTCCACGACTTTAATCTGATGCAACGCATCTTCAATCAGATGTATACAGACTAACATATCATTTCAAATAAAACATACACATACAATTGAAATCGAAAACCCCCTTTTAGAAGTCAGTTAAGAATAAAATAATTAAATATTACAAGTCATTGTTTTGAGGGCTGAAAATCAGCGCTATTTGACCTATGATAAGCAGGATATACTTACTGAGCTCTCAGACTATTATTATAATATACCTAACTTTGATATTATAATGTGCCTATATGTGAAAGATCTAATTATTTTATTTAGTATACGTAACATTGTGATGGAGGTACGTAACATCGTGACGGTGTAGCAACTATTCATTCATTCATATACTAGGCAATAAATTAATGAATGAAAAGGTAAGAGATAAGTTGATCGGCTGAGAGAGTTACCTGTTGGAATCTTCAAACATCCAGTTAGTTTAGTATCTATAAATACAAATATTGACTGTTCAGTTTAGAGTTTATTTAAAACTAAATCAAACTTAATTAGATATTCACATAAATATTTTTGTTTCATAGTTCTCCGTCAATTGTTTTTGCAGCATCTTTGTTTGTGGTCATATCGTTTTCTAAAACTGGAGCCAATTGTTCTGTAATAAAAACATAGAATTAGTAAATACAGTCAGATTCAAGTATAAAAAACATAACAACATACATAGATGTTAAAAGCTGTATTCAGTTTTTTAGCTGCGTATGATTTTATTAAACGTTTTGTTTCAATATGCACACAAAATGCACACAGCAGAAGAAACTTTGGTTATCATAAACAGCAAGTTTGGAGTTGCTTATCCAAAGCTGACGTAATATTGATGGTGCAATAATTTCAATATTTTGTAAAACTCTCGATTTAAATAACTCACTAGTACTATATCAATAGTATTAGTAAAAAGTTAGTCGATATACTATTAAGTAATTTGTATTCATAGCACTAGCAATATCATTTCTATATAACTCTTGAAGTTTATTATTAATTTGTGGAATATGATAGTTTTTGTTTTTAAAATTTAATTTCAGATAATTTCGAAATAATTGCATAAATATTGTTACTATCATATTCGTGCGAGTTATTGGCACATTTCAGACAGTGCCCTGATCTTTTGCATTATAAATAATCGAGAAATAAGTTTTTGTGAAAGCGTTATTAGGGTTTAATGTAATTAAATAAAATTCTGTTTCGAAAATACTAAGCAGGTCTCCTGAGGTGGTGTTGTGTCTGAAGTTTTACACAATTAAAATTTCAACTACTGCTTCGTATTTTACTTATAAGATAATTTTAATAAAATATACCTCGATCAGCTTGTAATGTCTCTACATATTTAGGATCATCCCATGGCTGTCGTTCACTTGTAGCGAAGATCAGATAGATCACACCAGTGCACGGTGTTATACCCGCTATCATTAGAAACACCAATCGCCATCGACTAATATTGGTCTGGAAATTTATATAACATACTAATAGTTAACATTACATTATAATCTATACTAATAGTTGCCAACTACTTAAAATACGTTAAAAATGAGAAAAATATAGCAATTTCCAAAGAGAGAGATTATCTCAGATTAATGCTCAAAATTCTTTGTATCCTGAGTTTGATCGTTGATGATGATGATCAACATCATCGGTCCTTTATTTCGTCCCCAATGCAGAGGGATGCCTTCCTTATGGATGGTTAAGGAGCATAGGCCATGACCCTCCACGCTGCTTATAGGCAGCACTGGTAGGCTCTCCATGCAATGTGGGAGACATGAACCAAACGAATGTTGCGTTTTCACTGACTTTATTATTGAAAATGATGTTTTACAAAAGGGTAGAGACATACACATTACAAGGCTATTCTGGTGTGTGTACGGGCTACCCCCTTCCAATGTCCATGCATCTCCAGCACTTGAGACTGTCTGATTTTTCAAGTATTTTTCTATTAGATTTGTATGAAAACTTTTAATATATTTTAGGCATATTTTGACATCTTTATGAAAATATTTTAAATTATTTGAACTTACCGGATCATTTTGTAAAATGGCACTCGTCAAAATTGGTATAATAGCACCACCCATAGTGGAGAAGAAGTTATGGAGCGACATTATGACACCAGCATAATTAGGCGATAGATCCAATTGGTTGACCTTGAAATCGAAGAAAAAATTACCTTATCTCTCATTTCAAGTGAGTAAATATCTTGACTTCTATACAATTTTATTAATACTTACTACAAAACCAGCTGTACTTGCTCCGAACACGGTCAGAGATATTATAAGACATATTACAGCACATGATTTCTTTTCCGAGTCCAAGAAAGAAAGTACTAAAAGCCCGATTGCAACTCCAAAGAATGCTGCACAAAGATAACAGAAACATTATAATGAAGACTGCCTGGCATTTGAAAATCAGCTGTTGGACTTCTGGGGTAAAGTTAATTTTACATTATTAATATTGATTGCCAATAGATAAGAAATATTATACAACATCACATATATTGTTCGGATTCCAAGAAGAGTAACTAAAGCGCCTATATTATGGAGTATCTGAGGTAAAGTTGGTACCATAACATCCAGACCCGAAACAATATAGAAAAGTCAATTTTCTACGTTGACCTGACGGAGAATCGAATTCGGAATTTTCAGAGATGGCGACATCTTGAAACCGGGATGTCAACCACACGGCTACGGAGATTGCTTTGAGATATGATGGCGCGTATATTATTTATAATTAATCTTTGCATTCGCTCATAATGATACATTTTTGCTGTAACAAACTTTTGATATTATGTTTAGCAATGCAATAAAAACTCACAAATCGACTGAAACAATTTTCTGCAAGTTGTCAGTTGTAACAATCCTTTGTTATAAAACTTCTCAGAAGCATAACCGGCAGCGGTGCTACTAGCCCACATCCCCACATACGGTAAAGACGCGAGGAGGGCACTCTGAAATGTATACAAACACAAACATCCACATTAATATAATACTTTATACTGTTGGTACACCAATTCGTTATAACAACGTAATGAAGTCCAATATTGAACTATTTTCTAACTAATAAAGATGACGACTAATTTTTATTTGTTTGTCCGTCATGTAGATTGTTGAAAATTATTAAATACGTATTTTTCTTAGTTTTTTATTACGGCGATACATTGAGTAAAAATGTCACATGACGTATATTAAAGCGAAAGGTCACTCACTCACTCATCATGAAATCTCAGAAACTACAAGTGCTAGGAGTTTCAAATTTTGCATGCGGGTTCTTTTTAAGACGTAAGTGCATACTAAGACGGGATTTTATGAAATTCAACCCCTGAGGGGGTAAATTAGTGGATGAAAATTTGTATGAAACTTCGTTACTAAAAGTACTTGGAGTTTCAAGTTTTGAATGCGGGTTTGTTTTTAGGACGTAGGTGCTCACTAAGACGGGATTTTATGAAATTAAACCCCTAAGGGGGTAAATTAAGTGATGAAAGTTTTTATGGAATTTTCACATTTCTGGACTTAAAACTTAATCACGCGGGCGAAGCCGCTGGCGGAAGGCTAGTTTTCTATAAATCTGTGACGTAACGAGCCCCCACTCCTCAACTTAAAACTCTGTTATCTAAGTTATTTCTTGTTAAATTTAAGCAAAAAAAAATATGTATCTTATATTTTTCTATAATGTGACTGATGGACTAAATATCATTTCTTTTTTTTACCCTGTAGTTGTCGCTATTGTGTATTGGCTGCTACGAAATAAAAAAAATCTGGACGATACAAAATATCGGGAAGGCCTGTGCCATGGGGATATTAATAGGCTGATAATAATGATGATATTTAGTACTCACACTCTTGAGGGAAATCCCAAGACCTTTATCTAAGTAAGTCGGCGCATCAGTCAAGAAGAATGTGAAGCAGATAGCGAATCCAACCTGTGGTGCGAGAAGGGCCCATACTGGTTTCGATCTTAAAATGTGCCTCCACGGTGTTATTGTTTTTTTCTGTAAATTAATCTTTAAATGTGTAATGTAATAATCATCATTACCATATACTACAACCTTTTGTGGAAAAAAGACGATAAAATGATATAAAAGAATAAGAAAACGGTACATAAATTACATTCGTTAAAATGTTGACATTATAATATCCGTTTTAAATAATATTACTCTTTAAATATGTAGAAATATTTTAGAATTTCTTTCAACTATTACACTCTATAATTAAAAGGAGTCCTGAATGGGTGGAAAATATAAGTGAATACACAACAAATTGTTTAAAGAACGTACAAGTTAACATTTAATAATTTATGATGATATATAGACATGCTTACAGATTCAGAAATATTTAGACCAGCTTCTATGTATTCCTTTTCTTCTTCTGTTATCCAGCGATGTTCTCTAGGACTACTGGCCATTAGTATATACCAGGCTATCGATTGCAACATCACCATTCCAGATATTGAATAAAAAATCAATTTCCATCCTAAAGCACTCTCAGCAAGGATTCCACATAAAGCCATAGCAGCTATAACTCCCACCTTTGTGCCTGAAAGACCAAATTTAATCGAGAATCAGGACGCTTTGTGCTTTACTTCACCACGATTCGATGATTTTGAGTTTAGCAATTGGCAAAGTGTGTGCTGAGTTCCACACACTTGGCTATTGTTATTTAAGCGACACGTACCTCCAAAAACAATAGTAGTACAATTAGTTCTTTCACTTGCTGGAAGCCACTGCCCGAGTAATGTATGTGATGCTGGCAGCGTAAATGACTGAGTAAGCCCAATTACTACTCTTGCAGCACATACGAATCTCCACCCACCCTGCAAGAGATTTTGAATGTATTTGTAATAATATTATACTGTGGTTCACTGATACTTCATTTAAAACCACTTCGCAGACTTCATTTTCAAAGGAATAAAACATAAAATAACTCACGTTTTTTACTGTGTTTTTTTAACGTGTGTAAGTAAATTTCTCAATCCAAACAGGTTAAACTCACCCAAGCAGCTAGCATGGGCACCAGAAGACATATCACTCCATTTGCTAATAACGCCACTAAGATTGTGGGTTTTCCACCAAATTTCTTCGCTAAAATGCCAGCTGGTATTTGCATTACAAGGTAGCCCCAGAAGAAAGAAGATAGTATTATGCTTTGCGTTTTCTTATCCCAATTAAAGACCTGCAATACAGAAATAGATTATATGGTTTTGCCTGTTAATAAAAAAGAAATAAAATTCCTTTTACGACGGTACTATTAATTAAAACGTGTATGATAAATATTTCATCTGCAATCCCTTATAACATAAGTCTCTTGTGCCCTTCATATATTATTATAATTATGGATATATCAAAATTAATTACATGTATTTCTGCAGTGAATGTGCTAGCTATATTTCTTAGAGTTTCAGAAAAACTTCAACTCCAGTAACTTAACATTAACATTTTATACTCTTGTTCTCTCCCTCTAATATTATCCTCTTCTCCTTTATAACTCTAATAGTAGCAGTTTTGAATGTCTACAGTAACGACTTATTCTTGTATGAATCCAGAACTATTATATGAATAATGATTTAAGCGATAAAGTCAAAGAAGCTATCTTTTCCAGTACATTTCACTAGATGGAGTGGGCGTGGAGTAATTACTCAAGAGGAAGATCACACTAATGACCATGATCTTCAGTAAAGTGAACCCGACTGGAGATAATGATATAAAAAACTTACTTCAATATTTGTGCCGTTATATCGTTTAATATCTGACATGGCCAGTACCGCTACGCTCATGCTTGCACGCACTATGAACAAGCAAATGGTGCTCAGTGTCATGCAGGCAATTTGTAAGTGGCGTATACCCCATCCATAACCTGGCAAAACAGAATTGTTATATTTATTTATTGAATCATAATTACCTAGTGTAATAGATAAATGGCGGACTTAATGCCAAAGATGCATTCTCTACCAGTTCACCAGTAAATTTAGTACAAAATTTAAAGATATATTTATAAGATGAAGCTTAATCCTATTAGCCTTCTAATTTTATAAAGTGTAAAAGTTCATAGATAAAAACGTTTGTTATTTATTTTTGATTGCAGCGAAGTAACGTACTCGTATTATCGATATTCGAGATATTATATGAAATAATAAGCACTACAACAAAATGTTGATAAAATTTACGATTTTATTGATGTGATGAATTTTATGTAACTTGATGGTTTACTCATATATCACGTATAGATCAATCAATATGATCATGATGATAGAGGATTAATCAAATAAAGCCTTTATTACTTTTTAATTAGGCTTCATTTGATTGTACCCTCCCGCAGTGGCCGCGCTCTGCTCTTCGTCAAGTTCTAGTCTGTTTTATAACAAAATAGCACAACAGAAATTTCAGTTTTAGTCCCAGGCTGAATTAACATGACATCTCAAGGCCTGTCGTCGAACGAAATTTACGAATCATTCTTATATATATGTCGCATCATCTTTACGAAGATCGTTTGATTAAGTTTCTTTTATTTTAATTTCTAGTTACTCGATAGGAGAGAGAGCGTGATTATCGATACTTTTAATTTTATTAGAATGGTGACACTGACTTTGACAGTTCGTTAACAAAAACCAAATTGCCGCCATTTTCGCACACATTCTGTTTCCGATCGCCGAGGAGTAAAGACATCCGACGACATATTTTCGTATGAAAAGTGATAAAATGGCACAAAACCACGTTGGACCATCTATTTGGGCTTCGTAAAAGCCTCTTCTGACTACCCGCCGACATATATATTTTACACTAGCTATGCCCGCGACTTCGTCTGCGTGGGAAGTATTTTGGTAGAATTCTTTTTTTCCCATGAATGCAGACGAATCGAATAAGATCAATGGGCCATAACCCACTACGCGGGCTAATTGCGGATCGGTGGGTGATAACGTTGCTGATGCAGCCAGGACTAACGGCTTAACGTGCATTATGCCAGTGTTGTCCATAGTGCTCAAGATAATAATGTTTTGGTCACCCATCCTGTAAACGGTCCTTACGAATGTTATTTTTCTCGTTTCTCGCGCTCTGGTTGTTGCTTGTGTCTGAGAATTTTATTCGTACCTTTAAACGGTCCTTCTTTTGTTTTTGATCTTTTTAAATTATTATTATTTGTCTAGTTGTATGCACAATCGGCTATTTATTGTTCTATTTTTCATGTAATGCTAGATTGCCTGGAAGAAATTGCTGGCTAGCGATGAGCTTGTCGTTTGTACTTATTTATGTAAAATAAGTATTCATTTATGTCTTTCTTGTGTAGTATTTACTTACTTATTTAACTGCAACTTAAACCGAATACGCTAACCCACTACGCCATCGGACCCCTTATACCCCTTAAGCTATACTAATATTATAGAGAGGAAAGATTTGGTTGTTTGTTTGTTTGCATCGAATTTGCTCAAATACTACTGGACCGATAGTTGCAGAGCGATTCCGACCTACGGGAAGCTACATCAGACGCGCATGTCATAGGCTATAATTTTGCGGCAAAGTCGTGGGAAAATAGCTAGTTCATTATACCCTGTGAAAACTTATCTGTGGTACGCCTGTGGAGTATGAAGTTAACACGGGTTGGCGATAATCGAAACTACTTTCTCGATCTCTATTGTGCAAACTGTGAACTCTTTAAGAGACCAAGCGCATTTCGCTATCAAAAGAAGTTTCATACTCAAACCATTCTGCATGTATGTAAATGCTTTAGATTCAACTTTATAGTGCATGAGCCTCGCGATAGGCAGTTAAATACGCTTCGCATTTTTCAGGTCTCCGGAGACCGACGCTTTCTGTCTCTTTCTTTTTCTCTTTCTTTTCTTTGTCTATAAAAGTTGGTCAGTACATGTCTACGTGGAGTTTTATTAATTGATATAAAAAAAATATATACATATTTTAATTTCGACTTTCCACACTCGAAGGGAATCGTCTACTAACATACTTCCGTGAGGTGCTTAACTGAGCTTCTGTCAGATTTGAACGGCCCTCATCATCATCATCATCAGCCCTTTTACGTCACCAACTACAGGAGCTCAGGCCTTCCTTATGAATGGTTAAAGACGGAGAGTCATGACCCTCCATGCTGGCTCAATGTGGATTGGAGGATATTAACGACTGCAAATACAACCGGGACCAATCGCTTTACGTGCTTTCCGAAGCTTGGAGTTGCTTGAGATAATATTTTTTGCTCATCCATCCTGTGCCCGACCTTTGCAAAAGTTGCTTAACAACTACAATCGCGGGTCATAGCGCTTATTCACTGCGCCACCGAGCTACTCTGAACCGACCCTCAGACTCGCGTAATATTACATATATGAGAGTTTTAACCAATGAATAAAGCATTGTTTCCAGCGAAGACTGAAAATACCAACTTTGAAGTACGTATCTACAGCAATTTGTATGTTAAAAAAAACAAAAAGAGTATTAACATAAAAAATAGCAATAAGACAAAAAAAAAAAATACTCGAGTTGTCTTAACGTTCTTAACTTCAGTTGACGTGAATGAAAGTTTTTAACGTCGTGGAAAAACTTATGACATTGTCTCTGTTACCTGGCAAGCAACAGGGGTATGTAGGATTCTCCTTTGTGAACCCGACAGTGAGCTGCCCGGTGTGTCCCCAGAGGCCTACCCACCAAAACCCGTACTTTACACCTTCTCATGGGAAATGAAAACCGGCAAGCTATGGCCGAGCCACCAGGACACTCAAGTATTGGACCATTGGTCCCCATGCAGATGGAAAATTGGAGAGACTCGGGTAAATCGAGTGTCTCTCCCAGACAGACGAAACCGTGCAATACGGGAGCGGCTGCCAATCACCTCCGCTGGCCCCTACGACTACGTGAACCTAATCTGATAAAAATGTGCGTTCACTGTAAACTACTCGAGGCTTTATTGCATCATCGGAAGGCTCTTTCCGCTTGTTCTCCTACTCGCGTAATCTATCCTTCTCAATAAAAAAATGTAAACATCATTGCTACGCCGATGATGTGCAGTTATATATAGCCGGGAATCCAGCTCGGATGATGGAAGCCGTCTCCAAATTAAATGAAGATTTGAATAATATAGCAGTTTGGTCAAATAATAATTGTCTCGTATTAAATCCTTCTAAGTCCAAGTTTATGATTCTAGGCACCAAACAACAGATTAATAAGATACTAACCAATCCTCCTGTTGTTAAGATCTTGGGTAAAAATATTGAATCAGTCAATGAAACTAGGAACCTGGGAATTGTTTTTGACAGTCAGTTGCGCTTTGAAAGTCATGTATTGGGTCTCGTTAGAAACTGTTTCTACCGTTTAAAGGTTCTGTATAGGATACGACATTTTCTCTCGGAAAAATCACGAATTATACTCTGTGAATCACTTATTTTATCCAAACTGAACTACGGTGATCTAGTGTATGGGTCACGGTTGCTATATAGGACCCGGAAAATTATACAACGTGTTCAGAACGCATGTGCTCGCTTCTGTTTTCACATACCCCCACGAACACATGTGTCACCTTTTCTAATGAAGGCGGATATGTTAAATATGGAGTCACGTAGGCGTTTGCATCTTGCCATGCTTATGTTCGATTTAATGAAGTCGAAAAACCCGGAGTATCTATATTCGAAACTAAAGCAGTCCACTTTTCATCATCACTACGGTTCCGGTGTCCAGCGATATATACGGGCTCCCTTGATGATGCATCATCACAAGACTGTGAGCTTCACTGGTAGTTTCCGTTATCAGACGACTAAATGCTGGAATAATATACCTCCGCCTATAAGATTAATCACATGTAGACGAACTTTTAAAATGCATTTGAGATCTAGTTTGCTAAAAAATCAAGTTCCCGGCAATTAGTCGCTTGATGGCGGTAGTAATAGTAATATAAACAATACTCTGTGACTCTGAATGATCTTGACAAATGAACCGAGTTAATAATGGGTATTACTATATATTTATTTATTTTATTAATCTATATATCTTATACGTTTATCAAATATTTTAGTTAGTAAGTATTTATTAGTATTTTTGTAGTGTCTGGTTAGTTAGTATTGTAGTTTTTTTATCAATTTCTTTGTGTGAGTTCTAAAATTTTTTTAATATTGTGCGACCACTTGCAATTGGGGTAAAAACTGAAAATCAGTGCTTTGCTCTTTGAGTAAATACACACTGAGTTTTCGCCCATTTGCATCGCTGCGGTACACATAATGTTTGATTGTCCTGTTTTTGCTTCTAATATTGTGTAAAATCCAAATCGTAAAATTTTGTGTATGCATGATGCAAATAAAGAATTTGTCTATCTATCTATCGTATACCACACGTAATATGATTAGCCATATATAAATGAGGTCAACTTACTTCGGAGTTGTCAAAATTTTGGAATCTTATTTTTTTATTTGTCATCATACAAATTATCATTTTATAGACAATATTAATTCGTAGCTCAGTGGCTCTACGGATATGCGCCGCTGTGCACGATCGCTATTGCTAAGCAATTTTCGCAAGAGTTGTTCACGGGATGGGTGAACAAAAATTATTAAACAAAGGCCTGAGGCCCTGCAATTTGGCTGTGAAAGAGTTAATGATGATGATCAATATATCAAAGACGAAAATTTAATGAAACAGTAAATATTTCATAGCAATTTTGGCGAATTTGAAGTGACGTGCACTTCAAATTGACATAACTTTTTTATTTGTGAACCGATTGAAATAAATCTTACACTAAATGTTAACGGAAGAATTCCGCAATATAATAGTGAAAACTGCATTTAAATCGGTTCAGCCGTTTCTGAGATTATCGTGCACAAACGTACAGACAAACAGACAAACAGACAAAAAATTTAAAAATCATTGTTTTGTGTTCTATTACTCTTATAAATGTCCCTCATAACAGTTTTTTTCATATATCTTCAATGTACAGACATCGATCGGTTACGTTTTTATTATAGTATAGATTAGAAACATTGTCAGGTCATACCTCCGTTACATTTGTATCATAATATGTGTGAATTGTCGTAAAATATACGAAATATGGTTTTCAGATAGGCCAGTGTCACGTTAATTTGTATGAGTAGTAGAACGAATTTAATATTTAAATATAATTGATAGTTAAATATTTATTTTGTTGTTTCTAAACATTTCGAACAGACTGTAAGATGTTGACAGAT